ATATGATAAGATTGATAACTAAGTTGAGCACGAAGCTCCTATCTAATGGCAGACGTGCCAGTCTTATATAGAACCTTCGTGTTCCTGAAGTCGACAATGTCGACTGTCGACATAGTCGATAATCGACTTCTCGACCAGGCGAGAAGTCGACCTGCATATATCACGTGACTTGTATACAAAGAAATTCCTGGATCGCTTAACTAACCTAAGCGATCCCTTTTTGCTATAAGAGCCATGATGTGTTTGTCCTGTCAGAACCCCGTCTGGACTAACTCCTCAAGTGCTAGCACGTGATTTGTGACAACAAGTACCTTTATTATATAACTAGTTATAAGCTAAATAATTCCGTAACTTATTATAAGTTAAGCTTATATCAGGGTTGTATACCTATATTTTATATAGTATACCCCGGTATAAGGCCCGAGCTAAATAGGTGTAACGAAAATCAAACTATCTAACAAAGGTAATCGTTTCGACGGTTGGTATGTGTCACAAAATCACGTGCACACGTGACAAGTGAAGACCAGGCGGCGTCATAACAAGTCAAGCACATATGGGCCTAGGAGCTTTATGTGTTCTGGGAAACCAGAGGGAGTTTTCTTATGTAAGCAGGAGCCGTTAATTGGTTGGATAATGGATGTATACCTTTACCAACATGTTGGTCACGTGATAGTCGACTGGTCGACTCGTCGACCTGTCGACCAACATTCCTTAGTAGTAGTATTCTGAGAACGAAGGTTCTATATAAGACTGGCACGTCTGCCATTAGATAGGAGCTTCGTGCTCAACTTAGTTATCAATCTTATCATATTAGTTTGACATCTTTGATACAAGTAACGAGTTCACTTCCAAGTGAACAACCCGATAGTCTTCTTCTTATCATAGCATACCAACCAGCGAACACCCAGCCAAGTTTAGTTAGCCCGTTTGAGTATTCGTTACAGTATGCGGGTAAGAAGTACAGATGCGCCGGGTTGTTTACTCGGAGGTAAACTCGTCACTTGTTAACAAAGAAGTAATAACTTAATAACTAGATTGCTAAACTAAGTTGAGCACGAAGCTCCTATCTAATGGCAGACGTGCCAGTCTTATATAGAACCTTCGTCCTCTCCTGGATCCATCAGATCCCTTCCGGATCTATCCGGGTCCATCACGTGACAGTAACCAATGGAAATCCTTGGATCGCTTAGCTACTCTAAGCGATCCCAATTATAAGAAACCTGGGTGTGCACTGTCGAGGGCTGCGCCTCCTATTATGACATGTATCACGTGGACACGTGATTCGTGACAGAGCCTTATCTATATTAACGTTATAGTAGTTACAAGAGACGAGATGAAATATAAGAAGACGCTAAATAAAAGGCAAAAGAAAAGGTAGAAGAAATAAGAAGTAAGGAAAGAGTTATAGGTAAAAGAACTAAGTATTACCAAGGAAGTACCACTCGCTCGACAACATAGGCAGGATCGCACAGCAGAGCCTCATGTACCCTGCTGTAACACGGCAAGGGATAATAAGATGAATTACAACAATAAGCAAAATAAAAGGCAAAAGAAAAATGAGGTAAGAAAAGAGTTATAGGTAAAATGAGTACGTATTACTAAGCAAGTACTACTCGCCCGACTATATAGAGCGAGACAACCGTAGAGGTCATACGCAGCTACTCGTACTACAGTACTAAGAGCTTGCAGGATTTCACAACAGAGCCTCTTCTACACCAACGTAACAAGGGATAAGATAAAATATAACGGGAAGCTAAATAAAGGGCAAAAGAAAAAGCAAGCAAGCAAAGACTAGTAAGTAACATAACAAAATATCACCAAGGAAGTACAACATACCTCATCAACACACTTATTCCATGACAAGCTCATACAAAAAATCCCATCAGGCAAGAAACAAAAAAAGGGTCCTGAGCGGTCGGATACCAAACACCCGGACATAAAAAGTAAGGGTCTTCGATGCAGCATGACAGCCTGATCTATGCGATGACTCTCAAGCCTCAAGCTCTTACCGTGAAAGTTCGGGGTCCTCTTTATCTGAGCCGAGAAGAGCTCGCTACGCGTAGACCCCGAGAAAAAAAAGACGCATTGCAAGGCGGGGTGGGTGGCTTCCTAAATAGCGGGGTACATTAGCAAACAAATGTTTTCCTAATGTTTGAAGAACGTGGAGAAGTTCATGCCGGAGGACAAAATTCGAGATGGATTGGATGGTGCAGAGTCTTGGTCTGGAAGGGCGTGCAGACCGCTCAATGGATTTTTTGCGCGTGGGAGAAGGGTTCGATGCTGGTCTTGGGCTGGACTGGGTGCAGGTGGGCGTCTTTGGCGCGATCCCGTATGGTAGCGTAACCCCTTGGGCATCATCGGTTTCTTCGTCGAAGTTTATTTTTGCATGGTGGTTCCTGGTGGCATAGCTTAGCGAAGGCTGCGAAGGGAGTGGTGGATGCGGTACTGTATGTCTTACTGAGGCAATGCAATAGCTGCGGTGATGGGCGGAGGCATAAAATGTAAATTTAAGAGAGAGTTGTTACTGAAGTACCTTTTTTAACCTACCATTACATTCACCCCCTAAGCAATAATCCCCTTGGGCGCGATCAATATGGAGGCATTGAACCCGTTGGGTGAGGAGTTTTTCAATGGTAGGGTACTCCTTGTTATATGAGCACAGACGACAGCCTTGGAGCGATGATGGGCGTAGGGATGAAATGTACCGTACAGAGGGTTGCGCCTCGTCTTTAACATGTTACTGAGTCTGCAATTAATATAGAGGCATTGAGATTATTTCATTAGAGAGCTGTTGCCTATAGAGACTAAATTAATACAATACTGCAGCAACACAGCGATGGGCTTGGGGTCCAATGTGTGAAGTACAGTAAAGAGAAATGGTACCTTTTGACAACCCGCCCATGTTCATGCCCCTCACAGCAATCCTTAATTGGGCAGCGAGAGTCTGCGATCTGTATGGAAGCATTGGGTCCTTGGTGATCTATCTTCTTCCCACCTTCTACCCCCCACCAATCCCCGTGATGTCATTGAGTGTATTGATGCGTCGTACAGCAGTGTGATTCTGAGGATTTGGATATGATTTGAAGATGTGATTGAATTGTTGTCACTCCACGTTGAGGCATGATCTACATGGAGCTTTCCAGTCTCTACTCTTTTTCGCCCCCACAAGTTTACCCCACCAAGCAAGCTGCAAGCGAGGAGAAAAGCAAGTTGATGCGAGTAATTGAGCAACTGCTGTAAAGCAGACTGACCGAATCTCCTCTTTGGATCTTTGGTCCTAATAATTGCGGGCCTCTATCCACCCGAAGATGCAAAAGAGAAATCCTTAGGTAATTGACTTTAGTCTTACTTCGTAAGTGGAATGTCGACTTGATACGAGGCGAGAAATCGGCGTCAAGATAGAGTCAGGCGGCTCTCACGTATCCGTACTGTACTGTATGAAAGTTTGTGACTGTAGCAAACTAGGGACCGCCAAGTAGCCGTATGTAGGCATCGGTAGATTCTCTCGTCCGGATAGAGACGGGGACGCGGATGCGGAGGGGCGACGTTGGTTGGGTTCATGTAGACTTGACATTGACATTGACGGCAGAATGGCGTGAAGAGATAAGGTCGACGACGGCGGGTCCACGGGTGCCTGACCTTCACTGGCTCCCGTGCCTTCGTTCCATCTCCATTCAGGCTCGTTGGGCTGGTCTACAGGACTTGTCATCCCCACCATTCCTTAGCAGGTACTTCTTACATAAAAGTGGAATTGTGGGGATGTGGGCCACTGCTATTGTCAAATGCCGTGTCTGGCCTTCTCGCTTGTAACTTCGTACTCGACCATGCAGAAACATGTTCTTGTACAAACAAAACAGTGGACAACCGTTGCAGTGGCACCGCAGTGACACCGCAGTGACATAAGACGCTAGTGTATTGTACATGTACTGTACGACTTGCGACTTACGGTACTTGTTGGAGGGACAGTCATTACCCTAAGCTGAGTACAGCGTACAGTGAGTGCATGCGTCGGAAGAGAGCCCCTCCACTATCGAGTTAGTGGAGATGATACCTGTAGTGGTGATAGGGACCAAATGAAGCACATGATGCCGCAGAAAATCGGGGACCTTTCAACCTTCCACCCCAGCAACCCCAAGCTTGGGTACGGAGTACAGGCACACGAAGAAGCAGAAACAGAAACACGGAGACACCAGAGAAGACGTCGAAGGCCTGAACAAGAATTCCATCAGTGGGTCTACATGCTATCTCTCAGCGCCTAATCTGCGCTTCAGGCTCTCCGATGCAGTATTTGACGCTGATCATGGCTCGTAACGGTGCTCGACAGTGTTTTGGCAGGTCGATGGTCACCGTCCGAAATGTCTCCCCATCGTCATTTTTATGGTCCCCCGGTCCTTCCCTGCTCACGACCCCTGAACCCTTCCCCCTCCAAGCCAAGTCAAGGCCAGCCCAAAAGCCACCGACCGTATCCCTATCCCATACCTGTAAAGCATATCCCAAAATCTTTTGCAATCTCTCCCCTCAACACCACCACCACCACCACCATCACCACCACCTCTTCATCTGCCAGCAACTCTTTGCATCCAGTGCGTTGCCTATCATTCACCTACTCTGGCTACTTTCAACAACACCACGTCGGCCAGATATTCGCTGCAGTCCATCGTGTTCAGCCGGTTGCCTTACGTGCCTTGCTTGCCTCACGGATCGTCGCGGGGTCAGCAGCAGTGTCAGCAGTCCAACCCTCTGTCGAGACACCCGTGGACAACCTCGCTCCTCGGCACCCTCCCGACAAGTCGAGTCCTGCTGCCGTCATCCACCAGCCCAAGATCGCTCGAGACGCGACACCGAATCCCAAAGGCATGTACATGTAGTATCCCGCCGCCCGCCAGACAATGAGCTGCATCATGCATCTCTTCGGTGCACTCCCTAGTTTCATACTGATCAAGTTTGCTAATACCAAATTCAACTATAGCCGCGCAACACGCTGATCAGCCATCAAGCATCAACCATCAACCGGCCAGCTGCAATTCTGGTGGCTGCTTACTCGATCACTTCGCCTTGACGAAGCTTCCAGTGCTTGCCCCACCATCTGGGTGCATATATTGATCCTTCGAGCCCCTCTTGACGAAGAATAAGATCAATATCATTTTTACAAAATGTCCGACCGATACGGATACAACGCGCGACCGCGCTCCCCGACTTACAACCCGGCAAGGGCTTCTCTTCCCATCAACCTCTCGGGGGGTAACGATTACCACACCACAACTTCGACTCTACATGTCATTCCCACATCTCGTCAACATATCCCCACCGGACATTCGAGAAGCAGTAGCAGCACGAGTGGTTCTGCTGGTATTATTACGACAACGTACAAAGTGACAGCAGAGCCACCTCCTCGAACGAGCAGTGTCCGTAGCGATAGCAAACGACGAAGCTCTACTCTAGAGAATCACAACCGACCAACAGTAGTTACAACAGTCAAACAGCACAAACCCGTCATTCATAGCGCTAGGCCATCAAGTCCAATGAAAAATCCCTATCGATCAAGCAATGAAGATTACTACGCAGTTCCGGCTTCTTCACATCACGATACTCGGTCACGTCACCACAGACCGGCTGATATCGACACAAGTGGAAATCGATTACGAGTGAGTTCGGCTAGACACGACCCTGGGTACAACGGCAGTAGCCGACCACGATCACAATATCCCGTTCCTGTGGCAAGACACACGGATACGTCATCAAATGGAGATTACCCAGATGATGGATTTGGGTACACAAACCCAAGGGACTTGGTTCAGTACGATTTGAACACCACCCAGTCGCGACCACGAAGAGACAGCTATGATGGCGGTCGACCAAGCAGACCAAGCAGCATCGCGGGATACACCGATTTGGTCCCACGATCCGCCGATTTCCGAGAGCGAGGACCACCGCCTACAACAAGAGGCTTTGACAGGATCCGTCATGGAGCAACATGGGATCAACCAGCAAGCGCTAGAATGCCAATGCTTCCTCCGCCATCGCCAATGGATCCCATTCAGAGACCAGCTAGGATAGAATTGCCATTTCAAGAACAACCCGTACCCGTACGACGAAATGGCGCTCAGCGACCAGCGTCGATGTACCATGACCGTGATCGTGAGGTTGGCAGAAGAGGGTCTCGTGATGATGTTTACGAAGTGCGAGATCCGGAGCCCTTGCGTAGAAGGAACAGCAGTTCACACCGTCGACCTGAACCCAGATACGAAAATCCTGTTGCTGAACGAGGATTTGGCATTAGAGCGGAAGTGCCACCACCACAACCACCCAGACCGGACAGGGTAGAAAGAATCGAACGGATTGAGAGAGAGGATCGACCTGAACGATCCGAGAGGTCAGATAGGTATGAGAGATCTGACAGGCATGATCGCTCCGATAGAAATGATCGACTAGACCGACCGGAAAGGAACGATAGATCGGATCGCCCCGAGAGAACAGAGAGAAGTGATCGAGGTGAAAGGTCTAACGAGGATCGTGAACACCGGAGCAGCCGAGATATCCTCACTACGGGGCTTGGAATTGCTGGAGCGGCACTTGGCTTGAAATCTTTCAAGAACGCACGAGACGATAGCAAGGAGGAGCGAGAAAAGGAAGAGCGGGAAGACAGAGAAGAAAGGAGACGAAGAGAATACGATGAAGAGGAACGTCGACGACATAGGGATGCACGCGACGACAGAGAGGCAGCGGAGAAACTAAAGGAGAGACGTTATCGAGACGAAGAGAGAGAGCGGATCTCGCCACCTCTACAAACTCCCAGAGAAGAACAACCGTCCTCTAGAGATATTCCACCCCCAATCCCACCAAAGATTCCACATGACCATGACCAACGCGAGATGCGAGAGAGGCACATGGATCAAGCTACCGTTAATCTCAATGGGCGCGATCCTAGAGAGCGCGACTCAAGAGAACAAACGGCACCAAGACATGAGCGCTCATCCTCAATAAGTGGACACGATGGAGAACCCGATAGACGAGAGCGACGCCGCCGCCCAGATGTGCCACCTAGCCGTGAGGATTCCCGTTCAGATTCTGCTTCAGACCCATCACATCGAGAATCGCGACCCGTCAAGGAAACCGTCACTACTCCCACAGCAGCTTTCAACCCAAAGGATACTCAGGATTTGAAAGCTTTGAAGGATGCTCTGAACTCCAAGGACAACGCGGCCGCTCGTGAAGTTTCTCCACCTGTCCCCAAAGCAGCGAGGGCTTCATTCACCAAAACTTCTGCCGAGGCCGCCGATATCCGATCCGAGATCCGGGAAGACCGACGCTCAAGAGAAACGCATACTTCTATGGATGTTGTTCAACCTCGAGTTGTATCACCTCCACGAGCTGCCAAAGTGGAAGAGAAGCCTGTTAAAGGCATTCTTCGTCAGCCAAGAGAAAAGTTCCCTGAGGATCCCGACCCAATTCGAGAAGGGGTCGCACCATTGAAAGATGCAAAGAAGGATGGTGTTCCTCCTGATGCTAGATGGACCAAGATCAATCGAAAGCTAGTGAACCCTGAGGCACTTGAGTTGGGTAAAGAGAGATATGAAGCACGAGATGATTTTGTCATCGTTTTACGTGTTCTTTCCAGGGACGAGGTTCAAGGTTATGCCGAGGTTACTCAAAAGCTTAGAGGTTTGTCATTGTCCAATCTTTAATTCTCATATACTAACCATTTTCAAGCCGCCCGCGAGGATGCAGAACGAGACGAAAGACGTCGAGCACGTAGAGAGCGTCATGAACGACATAAGCGTGAAAGAAACGGTGGTGAGAGAAGTGAGCGTCGCCGACGCCGTGATCGCGAAAATGAAAAGCCTCAGGAATCAGAATCGGATACTACGGAAAGTGATGAGCCAGAACCAGATGGACCAAAAATGCTTGAGCCTGCGCCGCCACGAAGAAGATTAGTTGGAAACAAGTTTGAGGAAGCCATGGTGAGTGGTGGTTTGAGCGGACCACCACCAATTGAGGATCCCAATGCTCCTGGTCAATATTTGAGCTATACCCGAAATCCACCCCCGCCTAGTTCTGTAGCGGCAAGTTCGGGTTCATCGACTAGAAGAGATCGATAGGGGTTGATGATGTGACGATGATTGCATGATTGAATGATGCATGGTGAAGTGTATGAAGGATTTTGGGCGATTATGATGGAGTTTATTCTTGACGTTGTAACCTTCTGGGTAGGGTGGGGGTTCTTTGGTGTTGGTGATATCGGAGTTGGGTTGTAGCATATACCTGTGAAGGTTTCCTTGAGCACTTAAGCAAGGTAGCTGGCGCAGTGGAACACGTCACGGATTTTCTTGAAATGGAAATGAAGATACGTATCTAGTATTTGTGGATGTAATTTTCTCAACGATAGTGGCATCTTGGCTAGGTAGGGTGCTTGTTGGGATTAGATGTAGAGAATGTAAGGTCATGTCTGCAAATGAGAGGGTTCCACCGTCTGCGAAATCGGCGGTCCTAGGAAATCAACTCGCTGAGATACTGCGTGTGCTGTACTTAACTACGTTACGAGTTAAGTTGTGAGTGTACTTTGTAGACTCGTTTGCAGACCTTACGAGCGAGCACCTTGAGGGTTACAACGACATCGGAGTTACTTCTTTCGGTAGGTCAGTTAGCGGGCTTACCCGGGATCCCCGCCCCGTCCCGCCCCGCCATTCACATTCCATCGATAAGCCTTCAAGGTTGCTTGGGATGGGGACAGGTGAGTGTACGGGGCTTTGGCGGCAATCACGAGCTCACTTCTTGTGTTGTTTCACTACGGACTCCCCACACCCATCCTACCTCACCTCAACATACCTAGGTTCTCAACGAACGGACTGAATACATCGGTGTTGATTTGAACCTCTAGCTATTCGAACCTCATCATATCTGTTCCCCAAATAGCCATTTCCTCGCCAAAATACCCATCTCCTCACGACAATGGGTGCCAATCAATCTACCATGCCCATGGACAACGAGAAGCTTATCGTTGAGCGTCTTCGAGCTATGCAACTCCAGGACCAGTCGGCCGATAAGGTTGATAGCGAGTATGTACATGTTGATGAGAAGGCTGTGGGTAGGAAGACGAGGACTAGAGCTCCTTGGACGACGTTGTCGATTGAGGGCATTGTGGGATGGGAGGAGGAGTTGTTGAGGGATGATAAGAATAAGTTGGTCTTCCCTGTCCATTTCCTGATAGCCTTTTACGCCGGAATGAAGAGGGCTCGAGATGTAGAAACAGAAATGGCTGATCTTCTTCCAGACTTGCACTCTCAGCGTTGAGCTCTGCGGATCCAATGAGTGTTCTTACCTCGAGAGCTACGACTATCAAGGATCAGCAGATCTTCTCGGTCAAGATCCCTTTCGAGGGAGCCCCGATTACGAATCAACGATCCAGTGGAAGGTGTTGGTTATTTGCTTCTACCAATGTCTTCCGAGTTGCTTTGATGAAGAGACATTCGCTTGATAAATTCGAGCTCTCGCAGGCATACCTCTTCTTCTACGATAAACTCGAAAAGTCAAACTACTTCCTCGAACAGATCCTCGATACCTCGGGCGAGGACCTTGATAGTCGGTTGGTGCAGACCTTGTTGGGTGATCCGGTTAGTGATGGGGGTCAGTGGGATATGGTATATAATCTCGTGAAGAAGTATGGTCTTGTTCCCCAGGTTCTGTACCCGGATAGCTTTAATGCTCAATCTTCTGGTGCTATCAACCAGTTGATTACCACCAAGCTTCGAGAGGACGCCTTGAAACTTCGGGCTATGGCAACAGCTGGTACGAAGAGTAGCAAAGAAGTTGCAGCAGCCAAGGAGAAGATGGTGAGGGAGATCCATCTCATCCTCACTCTCACCCTTGGTCCTCCTCCCTCTCCCGACAACGAGTTCACATGGAATTACTTGGATAAATACGGGCAAGCACAGGAGATCAAGACGACGCCTATTGCGTTTGCAAAAGAGCTTGAGACTCCAAAGTCGATCCGTATTACCAACTCTACCGTCCATGATATGTTTTCCCTCGTCAACGACCCGAGAAATGAGTACAACACCCTCCTCACCGTCAGCAGACTAGGCAATATCGTCGGCGGTCGCGGTATCACATATGTCAACGTCCCCATGGAAACCATGAAAGCCGCCTGCATCAAGATGCTCAAAGCAGGCCTACCAATCTTCTTCGGTTCCGATGTAGGGAAGTACTCCACCTCCTCATCGGGTATCATGGACACCTCTCTCATCGACTACGAACTCGGTTTCAACATCCGTCTCGGCATGAAGAAAGCCCAAAGATTGATGACGGGAGAGAGTGCCATGACCCACGCTATGGTCTTGACAGCCGTGCATCTCGATGAGAGCGGGAAGAGTGTCCGATGGAGGGTCCAGAATAGTTGGGGCACGGGCGCGGGCAGTGATGGGTGGTTTGTCATGAGCGATGCGTGGATGGATGAGTTTGTTTACCAGGCGGTTGTGGAGCCTAGGTTTGTGGAGAAGAGTGTTAGGGATGTGCTTAAGTCTGAGCCGAAGGTCTTGCCCAGGTGGGATCCTCTTGGTGCTTTGGCTTAGGTGGGTGTGAGGGGGTAGATGATGGGTTTGGTGATGGTTGTGGTGGTGGGTATGATATGTTGTTATGATGGGATTTGGGGGATTTGGGATGGGGATGGGGATTTTACTTGATGCATGGCGTTCTTTTTATGTATAGTTTTTGCTTTTAGGCTCGATTGTTTGTGGTAGGCTAAGGTTGGAGGGGATGGAAAGATGTAGATGCAAATGCATATGCAAATACAAATTACGATTTAGGAGTTGAGAGTTCCTGTTTTGTGAAGAGATATATTGGTGGAGGTATTCTTTGTCATTCCTTTTTTCTGATTTGGCTGGTTGATGTGAATTATCTGATTTAGCTGATTTATCTGATTTACTTGGTGTACTTGGTGTACTTGGTGTCTAAGTAACACCGTATAACCATCGGTAGCAGGCAGGCTAGGTATAGTAGCTAGATAGGTACTCGTATAGGTACTTCAACTAGCGGTCTACTCCAGTACAGTACTTCTTCTTGGTTGCTAAGGTTTGGAGGGCGAGGGGTGGATTTGGAAGGATTGTTGAGGTACCTAAAGAGGGCGGACACATCGGACTATCCACCCCAAATGCGGAACGAATATAGGTAGGGTTTTTACGCAGATACCACTGCTTATTTTATGTTATTTTTACCGAGTTTGGCCAATTTCTTTTGCATAAATCGCTGGAAATCGCCTAGCTACAGCACAAAAGCTGTATAATTTTATTAAAACCCAGTAGATTATACCCACCTATATTCGTTCTGCATTTAGAGTAGATAGTCCGATATCTTCGCTCTCTTTACCTATTGGAGTGTAGGGTAGTGGGGTGTAAGATTCCTGTATATATGTAGGTGGGATTTTTTACCCCGCGGTTTGGTTTGTGGACCGGACATGATCCTTGGATGTTGTACCGCGGGGTTGGGGTAGGTAGGGTGGGGTGGGGTCTTACCTTATGTGGAGTACTGTACGACAAGCGATGATGAGCAACGAACGACGTGGAGTACAGTAACAGTAAAGGATTTCGGATCTAGCTACCTACATATCTATTCAGTCAATTCCTTTGGGTTTGATTGGATCGGATCCTCGTTTTGGACGGGGGGGAGGTGGGGTTTGTTTTGCTCTTCTTTTTCCCTTCCTTTTCTTCCGACGTTGGAGAATCGGAGAGTGTGGTTCTCGCAAGGGGCTTGTTCGAGGGTAGGAGGGGGTCTTTCTTCTTCTTGGTATTCTGGTTTACTAGGTACGAATCTAATCCGTATTCCTATCTCGTGAATCGGGTTTTCGAAGGACCAGAGAGAGGGGGGATTTCCAGATTCCTAGACTGCTCCTGATCTCACAGCGGAGTCGGGATTGAGGATTCTATCCATAAAGAGATGTCTGAGGAAAGCGAGATGGAAGACAACGGTCCCCTAACCACGGAAGAGGATCTGAGGAGAGCGGCGGAGATTACGTCGAAACCGCCTTTTGTACAGATTGGGAATCTGTGCAATTTCCGGGATGTGGGGGGGTGGGATGTTGATGTTGATGTTGATCTTGTTGTTGGGGGGGAGGAGGGGGAGGTTGGTGATGAGGGTGATGGGATAGAAACAGATGGGAGGAGGAGAGTAAAAGGAAAGGTTAGGAAAGGTATTCTTTACAGGGGACCGGATTTGTATATCTCCCCATTTCCCTTCCTTTCCCTCATCATCCTCGATCCAACCCAAAGAACTAACTCTCATCCAAACAAAAGCGGTTCCTTAACCACCCAAGGCGAACAAACCCTCAGAGACGAATTACACGTCAAAACTATCCTAGATCTGAGAAGTGTCCCGCAGATCGAGCGAGCGGGGGGTGTGAGGGAGGTTGAGGGGACGAGGAGGGTTTGGTGTCCGGTTTTTGAGGTGGCGATGTATAGCCCTGTGAACGCGGGACGGAGGTATGGGTTGTATTGTGGGGTTGGGGAGGTGGGTTTGTTTGTTTTTTCTTTGGAGTTCGTTTGAGGAGGGGGGAGGGGGGTATGATGGGAGTATGAGGAGAGGGGTTTATGGGGGTATGGGGAGGGGAATGAGTGCTAATTCGAAATGGATATCAGGGAATCGTCGCTGCCTTTGAAGAAATTATGGAACACAGCGCGAAACCATCTTTCATCCCCTTACTACACCACCTCGCCTCCCTCAACCCCACCCAACCCGACGCCACAATCCTCCACTGCACCACAGGCAACAACCGCACCGGCATCCTCACCGCCCTCCTCCTCTCCCTACTCGGCGTCCCCGACTCCCAAATCGTGGATGAATACGCGCTCTCGCATCATGGTCTTGCCTCGAGCAGGGAGAAGACGGTTGATAGATTGATGCGCAATCAGAGGTTTGTGGAGGTTATTGGGGAGGGGGTGGAGGGTCGAAAAAAAGCGGCCAGGATGGTGGGGGCGAGGAGGGAGAGTATGGGTTTGTTTTTGCAACGGGTGAGGGAGAGGGGGGGTGTGGAGGGGTGGGCTAGAGGGTTGGGGGTTAGTGGGGAGTGTGTGGAAGGTGTTAGGGGGGTGATGGTTGAGGTTTTTGAAGAGGAGGGGGGGTGAGGGTTGGAGAGGGGGCTTTGAGAGGGATTGAGTGTTTGTGTTTGGTGGATGGTGTTGTTTTGTTGTTTTGGGGTTTCTTGTCTGTGTGTTTTTCAAAGGTTGGGTTTTAATTCTAGTCCTAATAAGAAGGATAGAAGGTTAGGTTTCCCTTTTCCTAATCAGACTTGTCTTCTCTCTATCGATTGGTTTTTGAGATGACCTATTTTATTCTGATACATACTTTACCTACTAACTTACTGTAACAAGTACTCCAAACATTTTCATCTCAATTTCCAAAAGAAGAAAAAAAAACACCCCTCTCGATACTCTTTCCACCCAACTTTCAACTTCCAGTATATACACAGGTATTCCAATCCTCTCCCCCAGAACTCTTTTCCCCGTCAACATCGCTCAACCACGGTACGAAAAAGTCTTGAAGTGGACTTCCACCTCGTAATCGTTTGTTAACAGGTGGTTCGCCTACGAATTCAAAGTTACTTGTTATCCTTGCTTTTCTAAACTCGTGATATAAAGGAGATTATGAGATAGTCTGTTGGGTAGAACAGGGGAATGTGGGGTTTTGTATGGTGGTACTTCTGAGGGGATATATGGGATTCAAGGTTAGCTAGATTGGTAATTTGGGGGATTGGGACGTAGGACGTGGATCTTGTATCTTGGGGTTGTGGAGAGGAGAGGGAGGAGTTCGGAATGATGGGAATGAAGGGCCGAGGGGTGTGATTAGAGATGGCGTCTATTGTTAAAAAGGCCTTGCTTTGTTTTGTTTGGGTATTTGTTTTTTTACGGAAGCGAGATCCTATTGTGATCTCGTCAAGTGTAGGGAAATGATAAAACGTGAAGAGAATTAATTGCCTGTCGATTACAACATCAACAAATTCTCGTGTTCTACAAGGTCTTTTTAATAGTACAATAATAGTAACGAGGGAGTTCATAAGTATTTACTACCGAGAAATTGTATTTCAAACGGTGAAAAAATGATTGTCGTTTTTTTTCCTTTGGATATGAGTCCATATAGTGTCTTGTAATATAGAGATTGCTTAATTTATTTCGAAGAAAATAGAGGTGTAAGAAGGTAGGTTGTATCATTGAACTCCTGACTGATATAAAACTAACAGTAACGTAAATAGATGGACTGGATTGTGATTAGATACGTGAGTATTAATCTTTTCTTTTTCTGACTTTGTAGTTTTTATTAGATTACGCACTCTTTGAAATATGTGTGTTGTGAATATAGACTAGCAGAGATATGCCTTCAAGACTGGATAGTTGCGAGAATTAAACCAGCGTCATGGTAGAGTAGACGTGTCACTCTTATCATATCTTTTCCGTAGAATAAAGTAGCTAGTTAATCAGGCAACGTTTTTAAGCATTTGAGCGGCAATTTGACCTAGTTGTTACATCCGCTTATATCTACTTTGTGGATATTTCGAGGGTTTTATCTCCATGGTCTGGAGGGGTTGATAAGCGAGAAATACAAGGGGGGGAGGGGGGTTATGTTATAATCTCATTTAACGTCCTTCTCACCATATTTACTAAGTGATAGCAAATCATATAGTAGTATAGGATACACGTCACGTATCTGATGTTGAGCATAAACTAGTTAGGCTTTTTGCATGATATCATGGATCCGAGATTTAAATCGCTTGTCAGTTTTTTGTTTCTTCTATCGCACCGCTTTTACTCGCCATTTTTATATATAGCTATGGGTCTGATTTGGACATGCAGAAAGTTGGAAATCCTTAAGCTTGAAATCATCATTCCAGAGATTATTGTCTTGTAGATATTTGGTATGTGATGTATAAATGTGCTACTGTAACACCCGAGGAGAAATATTATGCTATCAAGCTACTGTACTATCAAACGTTTTAAGACTCGTGCATAACCATTGTATGTGTTTCCAGCCAAGCTGATCAAATTTTCATTCCCAGAGACAGATACATGAAGTATGTATTGTATATTCCTTCAAGTGGGACCTTGAGGAGTGTACGAGTAGAGGGCATTTGTTTTAGAAAGATTTAACTAACGAATATTACGGAGAATGAGAAAATGAGAATCTGGAAAGTTTCTTCTTAGTCAGGGTGAGTATCGCTATAATATCCGAGTAAATATACTCGGTAGCACGGACCACCTGACTAGGCTGGTCCTACCTATATTATGGCGGTACGACTTCTATACCCTTAACTCGGTGTATATTAACCATAGGAATAGTCTAATACTAAGGTTTAGCCTCTTCCTGTATTACACCTTACATATTTGATAATAAGTAAAACCAACAGTGAGATTATAGTATTAGGTATGAGAATCGAAAGTTTATTCCGTAAGATGAAATGTAGGAGGCGTGGCATTCTATGATCTATTTGATTATAGATTTTAGGGTAATAAAGTAGAAATCTTAGCCTTCCCTTTTCTTGAAGAATGTTAAGTTAATTTCATCTTCTCGGATTACTAATTCAAAAGTTAGTAACCATTAATTAGTCTTATCCCGATGCCCTGGACGATACAAGTAAATTTTAATTAGTAGATTCGCATCTAAGTAAACACCACAAGCGAATGAACATCGTGAACCTGAATTTCAAACGTCGATCGTATAACTAAAATCCTAGATCGTTGTAGCAGATACCTGAAGCTAAACAGGCAAATTGCGATCTATAACCATGTAAGCTACTATCATTGTCGAGTTTGTATACTTGACCGCACTCATCCAGAATTTCAAAAGCAGGATCCCTTGGTCAGTCATGGCATTATGACGGATGGGAATGCTTTGGTTTCTATGGTTGGATTCCATGGGTCTGTGGTGATATTCACAACTCTATCGCGCCTATATACTTTCCCGTACTTATTTTGACGTTTGTTACTACATTCAATCCAGACCTTGCTAACACCGGACAGTAAGTGGACATAGAGGGTACATTAACTGCTGTCCCAGCTTCTTAAGAAGATATCTGAACTGTGAGGTATCGCTAAATGGAGGAGAGAGACATTAGCTACTTCATCAGCGTCAGCCCTCATCGCACTTGAGTAGTGAGTCGCCTATCTTTCCACATGGTGGAAGCAATTATCTTATGGTTAGCATGGTTTAGCGATAAGAGATTTTTAAATGTGTGCATTCTCATATCTGGTCATCCTCATTGACTACATTAGAAACTCGAGTAGTGAAAGATGAAATATCATTTAGACCTAATAAGGTGCTATCGGCTCTAATGAAGAGCCGTGTGCTACAGTATAACAGCCTTTGATCATCGGCTCAAAGGGATCGGCTAAAAGGTTGACTTTTTGAATAACCACCGTACAATTAAGCTAAAGTGGGGCATCAAAACAAAACAGAAAAACGACAAAAAAGGATGTATGGGAATCGGCCCATCTGGGATTTAGCCCAGTATAAGTTTTTTTGTAATCTCAAGAGGGGGGGGTATTACCTTAGAACCTATAATTAGTATGGTCGCGCCTAATACTGTGTTTCCGTATTGCTAAGGCAGTATGCCACCGCATTCACAAAGTAAACCCGGGGCGTTAATACAACCGAGCTACGAAGACTAGTGTATGATATTTGATTATGTTACCGGGTAGTTGGCTTATTAGTAGCTTTAAAATAATCCACTTGTATAGGGACGAGGTGAAGCGAAGCTATCTCCTAGCCTCTAACCTCCGAACGAGCGCTAATTCGCTGGATTTAGTACTTGTTACTACTTAATTAGTGGAATCTGCTACTCTACTCTATTCTACTCGAGTAGTTGGGTAGTTCTTTTATACGCTAGCTGTAAAGCGTCTCTAACGATACCTTTCTAAATTTACCCTTAAATTATAACGAAGTTCTTGTCCTTTTGTTGTTCTGGGATATAGCTGATCGTTCTACATCCAGACACTAAGCTCAAGATGTTCAAGCATGCTTTAAGAGCGACTTTCGCTTTGAGACGGATCTCTTTCCTATACCTAGAGTGGACTCTGGTTTTCGACTGTCCGAGCATTTGCTGGATATTAGGGCAAAATTCAGAGACGGAAGGGAATTACAAGTTGTATATTATACGGGATATAGGGACGATAACCCCATTGACTATAGTCTTCGCGGGGTTGACAGGTTTGAATCAGCTGCGCCTCCGATAGTCTTCAAACCGATCCAAATCAGACTTTGATATTTTGAGGATATTGTGGTCATATTGCATATATGCTATAGTGGAGGTGCCTTATGTTATGTCCAACAGCATTATCGAGGCGTCTTCGAATTCATCTGTTCAGCAGGAAAATCCCACTTTACCACCCCAGGACCTCACTTATTGAGCTCTATCCTGATGAGACATACCAAGGGACTTAGTAACGAGGACTTTAGTGTATCTTAGCTTTATCTGCTCATGTATCTCATGTATTCCAAAGTCATGGATTCCAATACCAGCCTCTACGAAACACTGCTATATGGGATATTCCCCCCCGAAACCGTGGGTTAATCCGCTTGTCTAAACTTGTCACCCGTCAGAAGAATCTTGCATTGCGTATAGTCTGTATCGATGTGATGATAGGAGGAACCCTATAGGTTATAGACACAGAAAAATAGGCAAATTGGATTGGCAATTTTGCGTCTGCAAAGATCCAGAGAATAGAGGTTCGTACAGGCCTTCAATTACATCAGGAAATCCTTTCAGGGTCTGGAAGACTACTTAGCAAAAGTTCTGACGCGCCTATAGCGACTTCAAGTCATGGCTGGGGGAACAATAGTGGTAGCTGGTCCGTTGACCTTAGGCCATTTCCACATCTTCACAAGATCGATGGCCGAATTGTCACATTGGTGGGATCGGCAACATCAGCAAGAGTGGCAGGTGAGATGGCAGAGGAAGCCAACCCTAGGACCTTCATGTAGATTGAGTTGGATTGATCTCAATCATTCGACGCTAGGGAGGGTAAGGCTTGGTTTAAGGAGCGGCGACCACCATCGAACGTGTATGGCCTTAAGTTCTATACTAAGGAAGAAGTGCATATGAAAGTTGCGATTGAGACTGCTTCTGCCACCAGAA